CTTGCATCGTTGGGAGGGTTTGGGTCATGTCAATCACATGCAGAGCGTGATCTACATACCTGGTTGCGGACCTTCGGTCTTTTCTTGGAGCCATATGTGGTCTACATTGATCTTAAGGCTTGTGAGTTTCAGCCCAAAGTCAAAACGTGTTGTTTTGGGATTGTTTGGGAAATGGATCCATAGTTCACCGCAGCCCAACGCATATAGGTGAATGGCTTCAAGGAGCAGACGGTGCCGATGTCCATGCTGCTTCCTCACGAGGTCATACGCGCTCTTGCGACGTCCAACGCCTCACAAGTCTTCCGATCCATCATGTTTGGGGACTTGACTTCCCAAGAGGTTGCAAACTTCTGGACACATGTCAAAGAGCTGGAACCATGGAAGGAACATGAAATCCTTCATGACCAACACCAAGACCTGTCAAACCTCATAGGGGTGGCGCTGCACGCCGACGGAGCAGAGATGTTTCGTGATGACGAGTGCTTCGTGTACTCGTGGTCAAGTTGCTTCGCATCAGCTGGAATTGAGACGGATGTCATGCTGTACCGCTTTCCAATTCTGTTCATAGCTGAACGTCATATGCAGGATCCCAAAGCGACTTGCTTTAAGGGTTGTGGAGGTTTCTTCTTTTGCTTATAAATAGGGTGTGTGGTTTTCATCGGCTTCAACTTTGCTGGCCTCGCCTTCTCGGCTGCAGGTGAAGCGGGGAGTGAACAAGGTCGTGGCCGAGATCGTTGGGTGGAGCCTGAAGCACGCGGCTAGGGGTGTGGCGCCGAAGAAAGGCTTCTACCGTGAGGCCTTTCCACCAAACACATGGAGGTTTGGCATGGCTGGCAAAGAAATGGCAGGTGGTGCTAGGATGCTACGCTTCTATTCGCGAATACCTTTTTCTATGACATATGAATATCAACAACGCGCAAATGTTTGGTTTCACCTTGAACCGCACAAATCATCTAAGGGCCACATACTTTTGCTGGAAAAGCGATCTCAAAGCCAGGCATGAAGCCCATGGCTTTCAACGATGGTACCAATGCACCAAGTCACTAGGCTGTTTCTTTTCATCCAAAATCCGGCAATATGACTTTTGGTAGGGGATTTGTTTGAACAAACAACAGCATACAACAGCGTTCAATGCTTGCACACACCGCCATTCGCTATAGCAAAGGATGTGTGACCTTTGCTTTGCCGAGCAGCCTACGAAGAGGGCCGACCCCAACATGAACTACAAAAACATGGAGCCAAACCCACCATACCAGCACGCGGTGATGGACCACCGCACTTACATGCGCACCCAAGTGGTGTCTGAGTGGTCTTGCCTGAGTGGGTGGTCCCTGCATTCGTGCGTCCACGATATAATGCATTGCTTGTTTTTGGGCACAGCCAGGGACCTCATCGCCTCCTGTTTGCGGGTGTTGGTGGAAAAGGGGGCCTTCGATTCACACAGAGTTCCACACCAATCTGAAGAGTTGTTTGCTTGCATCACAAATGAGATCCACACGACCTTCAAAGAACACAAGCCCCCTGTACTAATAGAGGTTTTGGTTTTGTGTGCTTTTGGATTTGCAACACATTTGGGTTTTAGGTGAGATGTGGTTTGGGTATTGCAAGGCTCTACTATGGAGGGCCCCCTATCGTCATGAAGTATTGCTACCCTGTGGACAAGAAGGATTTCACAGAATTGGGGACCCGCTTCAAGGCTAGCCATGCGAAGGCACTCCTGTGGTGGCTAGCCATGCGAACGTCGAAAGCTGCTGAAGAATCTCTAGGTGAAGCTCGGTTCAGTTCAGAAAGAATTGAGGTTCTTTTCTTATAACTTATATCCCTTCAAAACTTTTGAACTAAGGTCTAAAGTTCTGGTTGAAAGCTTTCCCAAACAAGGACAATGTTCTGAAGACGGTTGCTTACTGCTGTTGGACACTGAACCGAGCCCTTGAGATCTTCGATTGCGGAGGCTTATTGCTGACACGGCGCCATGCCAATGAAGCCAGCACAATGATGTTGCAGCACCTCAGAGCTTTTCAGTTCCTAGCTTCAGAGCATGGTATTGCTGGCGCATACTTGTTCAAAATGAGGCCGAAAAGCCACTATTTATGGCACACAGCCATTCAAACAAGAACGTGGAAAATAAATCCATACATGTTCCATTGTTTTTCGGAAGAATCATGGCTGGGCAGGTGCAAACGCATAGCCGTTCAGTGCCATGGTGCTACAATGCAACGTCGTATTCTCCAAAGGTATCTTATTTGTTTGGGTCTTTACTTAGAGCAGCACCGCAGACAAATCCGTGAGCTGGAAAAGACAGCTTAGCGTGGCCCAGGTCGAGCTATGTTAGCGTGATACCCCCAGACCACCAATAAACTCTAGAGTTGGGACCAAATAGATGAGTCGAACGACCTGCCCACGTTTGGGGTCTAAATTGGGGCAAGCTGCAGCACAGCAGCTCGCTGTGCGCGTGCAGGAAACACCGGCACGCCATCAGGCGAAAAGCGAAGCAATGGATCTGCAACGTGTTTGAGTGGAGTTTCGTTTTTGTGTTGGTCTTTGCATGGTCTTGACAAAATAATGAAACGAAAGGCATGAGGCTGCACAGGTGAAAACAATGTCGCGAGGTGACAGGTTCTTTTGTGCGTTTGATGGTTGTGTTGGTTGGCTCAAGTTGCTTTCGAACCTGGCTCTTCAACCCAAGAAGGGCGCCATGCACATGGCACACCTGTGTGTGAATGTTGCGATATGACGCGGAGAAGCTGCGTGGAGAGCGCAGGAGCTTCAGTGAACTTAAGTGCTGGTAGCGGAGTTCCAAACTGCCACCTTTTATTGCCCAACTGTAGCGGGCATGGAAACAAACAACGGTGGAATCAAAGCATCAATGTACACGACTCAAACTCTAAAGCGGTCGCCGCACCAGTTTCGTTTGCATGCTGCCCTACAACTTTCATAAAATTTGGAACTTTTCGTTATGGGCCAAATGTGTATACACAAAAAATCATGCTGTGTATATACCGTGGGCAGGGCCCACGCAAACAACACTTTCGCTCATGCCTCATGAGACATGTTCGGCGGTGTCGCTTGAGTCCAGGAAGCCAAAGCATTACCAAAAGTGAACATAACCAAAAGTGATGTAATTATTCTTAGAGTAGCAATCTCTCATCATTTTACAGTTCTTTATGTATGTGGTGCGACAAACACTTTCGCTCATGCCTCATGAGGCATGCTTGGCGGTGTCGCTTGAGTCCAAGAAACCAAAAGTCACCAAAAGTTATATAATTACAACCATTATGTTGTAATCTATTTTGCACCTTTTTGTTTTTTGTTTCTTTTTTGTTTCGGTGTGGCGCAAACGACATTTTCGCCGATGCTTCACGAGGCATATTCGGCGGTGTCGCCACTCACCACATGGTAATGCACCCCATGCATGCCACACAAACGACAGCGTCAGGTCCAAACGACAGGTTTTTTGACGAAAGGTTGTCGTCTGTAGAAGACAGTGTGCGAGGGGCAGGTTTGGGTCGTCTAGGACTGCGGAGAAAGCCGGGCCCCCAGCGGCGACCACGCGCGCCGGAGGCCCTTCTGCAGTCTCTGAAGAGAGCCGGGCCCCCAGCGGCGACCACGCGCGCCGCAGGCACTTCTGCAGTCTCTGGACACGACACTGCGGAGAGAGCCGGGCCCCCAGCGGCGACCGCGCGCGCCGCAGCCCCTTCTGCAGTCTCTGAACACTGCGCCGGACACTGCGGAGAGAGCCGGCCCCCAGCGGCGACCACGCGCGCCGCAGCCCCTTCTGCAGTCTCTGAACACTGCGCCAGAGAGCCGGGCCCCCAGCGGCGACCACGCGCGCCGCAGGCCCTTCCCTGCAGTCTCTGGACCCTGCGCCGGCCACTGCGGAGAGAGCCGGACCCCCAGCGGCGACCACGCGCGCCGGAGGCCCTTCTGCAGTCTCTCGACACTGCGGAGAGAGCCGGGCCCCCAGCGGCGACCACGCGCGCCGGAGGCCCTTCTGCAGTCTCTGAACACTGCGCCGGACACTGCGGAGAGAGCCGGGCCCAGCGGCGACCACGCGCGCCGCAGGCCCTTCTGCAGTCTCTGGACCCTGCG